AGTTCCTATCTGTACCTGTGTACATCCTCTGGTCTAGCCAGACTTGCAATGTAGAATTCAGATCATGATAGTAGGGGTGGGGAGGAAGCATTTAGGAACTAGAGGAAAGTTATATTTTTCATCGTTGCTACATCGCCCTGACTGGCTCATCTCCCGAGACCCCTCTGCAAGGGGATCTCCAATGTTGGCCCCTTCTTCTTAATGCCTTCCCTACCCAGGTCCCTCTGCCTGGTGTGGACATTTTGTTTGTCTCTGTGTTCTTGATGGCTTGCCTAAGTTTTCAGATAGAGGAATTTACTCTCCTTCTGCCCTGTGCAATTTGTCCAATTTCCCTCATTACACTTCAGGCTCCTTAAGGGCAGGGAAACCACACCAAATTCACTGCCATCAAGTTAATTCCGACTCAGAGTGACCTTTTAGGAAAAGGGTGGAACTGCCCCTGTGGGTTTCCCAGACTGTCACTCTTTACAGGAGTAGAAAGTCTCGTCGTGATTTCAAACTGGTAGCCTTGTGGTAAGTAGGCTAATGTGTAGGTGCCCGCCATGCCACTGGGGGCTCCATCCAGGTGGAGGAGGTATCCGATGTGCTCGACCCTCAGCACTGTGGTAGTAGTGCTCTACTGCGTAATCCATGTTCAGTAAATGTTTGCATGAAGGCATGCTTCAGTAGGGATGCAGAATAATTGGACTGATCTACCACTTCAGCGTCTCACAAACTTTCAGACATACTGTGGTTCACAATATGTGGACCTGGTGGCACTGTCAGGAAAGCGTCGGGCTAACTGACTAACTGCAAGGTCAGTGGTTCAAGAAAGATGAGGCTCTCTGCTCCTTTACGGCCTCAGAAACCCTTTGTAAGGTCACTAGGAGTTGAAGTCGACCCAATGGCAGTGGGTTTATGTTTATGTGTGTGTGTACCTGTGGTCCACAGTCATACACATATTTTATATCGCAACTCTATAGAGCCCTGCCAGCACAATGGCTAAAGGTTCAGCTGTTAACAGCAAGGTAGGGGGTTTGAACCCACCAGTAGGTCTCGGAGAAAGGCTCTGGTGATCTGTTCTTTTTTTGTTTTTTTGTTTGTTTGTTTGTTTTTGTGATCTGTTCTTATAAAGATTCCAGGCTGAGCGTTTTGTTTGGTGGCACTGAGTTGACTGTAACGGTGATAGAACAATTCGGAGAGGGATATCAATAATGGTTGTACAGCAGTAAGAGTGAGTACAATCAATGGCACTGAATTATACATGTAGAAGTTGTTGAATCAGAGGATGCTTGCTGTGTATATTTTTGCCAAAATTGAAAAAACAGAATAAAACAAAAACCAATTACATAAATAACAATGGGTACGAGGAAGAAGAAAATGTTCTAAAAATTGTTTGTGGTAAAGATTGTACAACTCTTCTTGATATGACTGAACCACTGAATTGTATGATATGTGGATGAAGTGCTAATAAAACTGTTAAAAAAAAAAGATTACAGCCTGGAGAACTCTTTTGGGACAGTTCTACTGTGATCGATGAGGTTTATGAGTCAAAATCAACTCGACAGCACATAACAAGAACACATCGCAACCTGGTACATATGAATATACATACCGTACGTATATACCCGAGTATAAGCCAACCCGAATATCAGTCGAGGTACCTAATTTTACCACAAAAATGGCGTAAGAAATGTGCTGAAAAACCCGGCTTATACACAAGTATAATACATTGAATGAAATGGAAATGCTCCACAAACAATACTAGTTTTTAACATGTACTCTATTATTTCCTATTACATTTATATTGTACAGTGAACCCTCGCCACTTCGCGCTTCGACTTCCGCGGCTTCACTCTATCGCGGTTTTTGCGTAACAGCACCCACTGCCTACACCCGCTCCTTCAGAGGAAAAAGACGGCGACCCACCTGTAGAGTACATCCCTTAAGTCATTTCATAGGCTATTGATTACAGTATTTGTAAGAACTATGTATAATAATACTATTTGTGAAATATGTAATACTGTAAACTAGATGCCATAAATAATATAATAAATAATAAATGATAATTGTAATGTCCAAAATGTTTTGCTGTATTTTCCCTTTTTCGTTTAATAAATTGGGTAATACGAGTGTAATGGTGACTAAAGGGTGTTTTTTCATGTCCTCTATGCTCTAACGACGAAAATATTTGATTTACAAATAAGGAATCCTACTTTGCGGAATTTCATTTATCACGGTAGGGCCTAGAACCGATTAACCGTGATAAACGAGGGTTCACTGTACTAATGAACACAAAGGAGTCCTGGTGGGGTAGTGGTTATGCATTGGGCTGCGATCCATGAGGTCAGCAGTTTGAAACCACCAGGACTTCCTTCCACAGGAGGAAGATGGGGCTTTCTACTCCCATAGAGTCAGTCTCAGGAACCCACAGGGCAGTTCCAGCCTGTCCTGTCGTGGCTGCTTTGAGTTGACATGGACTTGATGGCAGTGAGTTAATGAACACACACACGAGGGATCTTAGAAAAGCAGACGACAAATGAAACAGGATGATAATGGAATTTTCCCACAAACTTTTTCACCCCTCTCATACTGAAGTAAAAAAAATTGCTGCTAAGACTCATGTGTGCATGGGTTTAATTCAAGCAAAACATGTTTAAACATGCCTCTGCGACCAGCGGATGGCTACAGACAAGTTCTCTCAGTCATACACATGTCTCATTAGGGTGCTTTCAATCAAAAGGGCCAATCAAAACAGTGAGTTCCCAGGGAGTCTGCTGAACCAGTTAAACTCAGCACAGCAGTCAGCTCAGAAGAGTATGGCAACTGATTTGGGGGATTCTGAAAGGGTAACTTTGATAGATTCTCTGGAAGGGCACTGGATGATCACAGATCACAGGGGCTTTCTGAGAGAGATGTTCTAAGAAAACTGAAAAAACTGCACCAGCGAGTAAAAGGCCAGGAAAAGCTGCACTGAGGAATTTTCCTTCTACTATGATAATGCATTCGCTTATTCTTTGAGGGTAATAAAGGCTGTCTGTCCTAAGAGAACTTCTTTGGGGAACCTACCCCGCCCACCCTATAGCACTGATCTGGCCCCTTCAGACTTTTTCTGGTTGTTTTTCCCAAATTCAAAGAATATTTACAATTAACACAGTTTGAGGCCCTTGAAGATGCCAAAACTGTTGTTCTGATGGGGTATAAATCAAAGAGTACAGAATTCTTCAGGGAAGGATTGGACAGACAAAAAGCACTGCCTTAATACACTGAGGTAGGGCATGGACTTTGGAACTCTGCTCATACCCTCCCTCAATACGAGAACAATTTGTTCTAACCAATTGGCAGTCTGAGATGTTCACCTTCCCGACCCAATCTCTGAAGACAAAACAGGTGCATAAGCAAATCTGGTGAAGGCAGATGGTGCCTGGCTATTAAAAGATATAGTGTGTGGGGGTCTTAAAAGCTTGAAGTTACACACTGCCACCATTCAGCAGTGAAGCAACAAATCCACATTGAAGAAGCATACCGCTGGTGTGATCATGAGGAGTCATAGGGACCAGGTAATAGGCATCAGCAGACACATAACAAAAACATATTGTTGAGAACGAGGGGGGCTGGAGCAGAGATCCATCTGTAGACAGTGGAACAATCTCACCACAGAGGGGCCACAGGAAGGGATGAGTCACCATGGTGCAGTAAAGCACCGATGAAACACACTATATTCCTCTGGTTCCTTGAGGCTTCCTCACCCCCCACTACCATGACCCCAGTGCTGCTTCTCAATTGAGACTAGACGGGGACATGTACACAGGTATAGAAAGGAATGGGCGCTCACGACCCACAGAATCCAGGAACAGGAGTGGGAATAGTGATTCCAGAAGGGTAGGGGGGAGTGGGGGAGAGGAAGGGAGAAAGGGGAAACCAACTGCAATGATTGATGCATAACCATACACCCCTCTACAGGGGGAAGAACAACAGAAAACATGGGAGAAGGGAGACAGCAGCCGGTGTGAGAGATGAAAATAACGTACAATCTATCAGGGGATTATGGGGGGGCCAAAATTTTAAAAAGAGTTGATACCAAGGGCTCAATAAAAAGTAAATGTCTAGAAAAGAACGAGGGCAACATATGTACAAACATGCCTGATTCAACTGATGTATGGATTGTGATGAGTTGTACGAGCCCCCAATAAAATGATTTTTAAAAAAAAGGAAAAACACTGCCTTCCGAAGGACATAGACCTAAATGGTAGGTATACGGAGAAACAATAGCTTATTTTAGTATTTTTAATAAAGGTTTCTATGACTTTGTAGCAATCTAATTTTTTATTTATCCTGTCCTTCAATATTATTTGATGGCTTTTCATGGGTTTCTGTCTGGTTTAGAGACTATCAACAACCTTATTATTTGCCAAATTCAGTTTCAATCCTTTTCAGAATTTATCGTGGCTACTTGGCAGCTTCTTTCATGTCCTCTAAAGACTGAGGAAGGTTTGTTTAGTCAGTGCCAAGGACTGATGGATGGCTTCCCAGCACCAGTACTTTAGTTTGCTCCAGCTTGGCTTTCCAAAAGATACGACTACTCCACATGCACCTGTCCCTGGGAATTTTCTGCCTGCTCGGCGCTCAGAAAACCAGCCTCTTCCGATGAAGCTTTACACTTATTGTTGCCTATCCATCCCCCTCTCCCTCTCGCCTCAACTCCCAACCAATGTATGTAAAGCGCCGTACTATGATTAACACGCCTGGGTGATTAAGTTCACTTTTTACCCCTGCGGAAAGTATCTAGATCTAGGATCCATCTTTGTTCGGCTCATTGTGAATCTTGGGAACACCATCTGTGTTGGATGTCCCTCGACACTAATCAACAACGTCCAAGCCTCCGAACCAAGTCCAAGGAGGAGGACTGGTGCTGAATGAATGCGGTGCAGCACGGTGTGCCCCCTGGTGGAAAGGGACTGAGCGCTCACACTGACCCCGAGAGTCCTCTCCGGCCTTCTGTCCGACTCTTCTACAAATGCGCAGGGCCTCCGGCTGGCCATAGCTTTCAATAATTGAGGCCGAGTCCCCGGGGAGTGACATTCCACCCGCCAGAGTCGGCCGGAAGCTCGCGGCTGGCTTTGCGCAGTCGGGACTCCATCTCCCAGAGGGCCCCACCTCCCTCGGCCACCACGGCCTGCGCTTGGGAAGGCTGGCCCCCGATTACCTGACGGCCGCGGACGTGTGGATCCGGAGCAGGAGCGGCCTGCCTAGCACAGGGCTGCACCGAGTCCCGACCCGAAATAAGTGCGCCAACATGACTGGGCGGCAGCGTAGGAGCACGCGACCACGACCGTTTCACCCTCGACCCACCGAGGGCTCCATGTTGGCTCCTCCGCCTTCCCGACATGCTCCTCCACCTTCCCGACATGCTCCCGGCGCCTTAGCTCTGATTGGAGGAAAGACGTGTCATTCTCAGTTCAAGGTGTGATTGGACAAACGCGCTGGGGCCGACTCCGCCCAGAACTGTAACCAGAAAGGAACGCCTACTTAGCTGCGCCCGCCTCTGGGCGGGGCCTGCTGGGCAGGGCGGAGCCGGGCTGCCGCCGCCCCGCGACGCTACCGGAGTGCCCAAGCGCTCTGAGGGTGTCCACAGTAACTGCCCGTCGCCCGGTCGTTTACCTAAGGTTTCAGGGTGAATTCTAGGTGACTTGAGTCACAGGGAGTGTAGGTCGCCGGTGCTGCAAGAAACAAAATAAACAAAAATGGACCAGAAAGTGTTTTTTTTTTCCTCTTTTTCAAAATACGTACGTGCCTCACCACTTTCCCAGTTCTCCTAAATTTGTCACAACTCTCGAGTTGACAACCCGGAGCCTCTTTGGGGGAAAAAAAGGTGCATTTTAGTGGTTCCGATCCTGTAAATGATGGAGGGCTATGGGTATGGAAATCCTGTAGCCTGCCAAAGTGCGACCTCACACCTGTCTCTGCACAGATGGCTCCCTCAAGTCCAAACTGACATGTCCAAGTGTTTGCATATCTGCCATCCCCACTGGCCTGACTTTTTTTTTGAGTAGTTGCTCTGTGTTATCATCAAATGCTCCCTCTGCCCTCAACCCCAATACCTGCCAAGGAAAAGTATCCTTTATAATAAATTTGCCTTGAATTGGGTGGAGGTGGAGGTAGGTGGTGAGGGGTGAAGGGGCTATTATTCTGTGACTCTGGTTCAACTGGGAAGAGAAATGTGCCAGGATTAGTTTGGGAAACGAATGTATAGGAAAGGGCCTTCATGTGAGTATAGGGCATATCAAGGTGAGCTAGGTAGGGGAGGGCAGACAAAAACCCCACAGGACCCGTCTAGATATGACTCCAGAAGATCATAGGAGTGGCCCAGCCCCTCAGCAATGGGTGATGCCATTTGGGAGACAAAGATACCTACTGTAGACGGGGTAGGTCTCTTTTCAGCGCTTCTTCAGCCTCAGTGCTAAAGCTATACAGATTTTGAGATGCAATTCCCACAGGAAGGAGGCTCCGAAAGAGAACAGAAGGTAGAGGTGGTCTTAAGTTTTTGAGGGTACAGCTCCATTTTCTCCATGGTCATCCAGTGGTCAATGGGAGGGAGTTCTGCCTCCCTTTCTCTATTTGATTGATTTTTTTTTTCTTTTTTATTGATTGATTTTTTTTAAGTCAGCCCCTGAGCTTAAGTTCTGGAGGCCCTGACACCTGGGTGACTGAATCAGCACCCGAGGAATGCACTTCATTAGGAAGCCTGGTGATTCAGGGCCTCAAGAATGGCGTTGGGCAAGCCACCAGACCAGCTGCCTGAGCTGCGTTCTCCTTGCTGGCAGCCACAAGGAACTCAACTCAGCTCACCCTGGGGCATCCAAGTTACCCTTCCAAAGCCTGGCTTCCCAGGAGACCTCCCCAGCCCTGCTGCTGCTGCATTCTGAAAAACCGCTGACATCTAGTGGATTGCTCCTTCTTAGACCCCTCTACAAACTGGTCAGGGTGGGAGTGTCAGGGTCTAAAAAGGTTTCAAAAAATACAAAGGGGAAGAAAAAAAAGGAAAAACCTCAACAACAATGGAATCTCCAAAGGACAGTACTTTTCTACCTGATCCTCCTAAAAACACTTCTTTCCAATAAAATAAAATAAAATAAAAACCCTTCTCAAATCTCAAACAGTTTCTTTTCCTTTCTTCAAGTCATTTCTCTCAGTTTTCCATAACATGGCTGCAGATCCCTGTAATCATGGAGGAGAGAGAAGAATTCTAAAAAGCAAAGGTTTAACATCTGTTATTTATTTACTTATTATTTGAGGGTTAACATCGTGGCTCTGTAGTTCTATAATCTTTTAGTAGGATTTAACTCTTCTTCCTTGTTATTCTCTCTATACTCGCTTTCCCCTTATAAATCCATTCTAGGTCTGCAGGTTGAGAATGTGCCCTTGCCCTTCAAAAGATGCCACACCCAGCCACGCTCTAGAGAGCCAAGCCCACCTATCTTGGGAGGTTCCTGGGCCCTGAGGCTTGGCACCAGGTAGCCCTGGAAGGGGTGTGAGAGGAAGGCCTTGGGCCTGCCCCCTTGAGTCACCTAGTGTTGTTGCTGTCATTATCTCTGTTGTTGTCTGAAGTCTCTGCTCAGCTCCCAGAGTGCAGTGGAAACAGGAACAACACTTATCTTCTTGACCTTTCCAGAGAATCCACTGGCCTGATGGTGAGCCGAAGGGGTTGGGGGGGGAACAGAGGGCGGCGGGGGCGGTGGGGAGACCTGGGGCTAGGATCAGTGCCCCTCCTTCCCATGCCACCACCTCTTCCTCCTCCACCTCCACGTTGGGGGTCTGGGGGTGGGAGGATCTCTGTCTTCCCTCTGTCCCCAGCCCCTCACACAAGAAGCTCCCCCTCCTCACTTCTTGCACCGGCCTTGGGCTCCTCTGGCCCAGTGACCCAGGTGCCAGAGGTTTCTCAGCCTTGCCACAGTGCTCTTTCCACCCCCACACGGGCGGTGCAAGCTGCTATGACACCTACCTCTGCTTCCCCGTCCTGGGGATCCCACTCCACCCCGCCCCTGGCCTCGGTGATGCCCCCTCCCTCCCGCCGATGCTCTCAGGATCCTCCTGGGCTTCGGATAGGCCCTCTGGTCCCAGAGCAGGACTATGAGAGGCTGGAGGACTGTGACCCTGAAGGGTCCCAAGATTCACCCCTCCATGGAGAGGAACAGCAGCCGTTGCTTCATGTGCCCGAAGGGCTCCGGGGTAAGTGCGGGTATGAGTTGGGGTGTGGAGCTCACTGGCTGACTAGAGCCAAGCTGGTCCTCTGGCAACTGGCAGAGGGGGAGTGGAAAATGCTTGCTCCAGCGGCAGTGCCACATTCCAGCACTCTCCCCTTCTGTGCCCAGGCTCCTGGCATCACATCCAGAACCTGGACAGCTTCTTTACCAAGATATCCTTTGGGCCTAGGACGGGAAGAAAGCCTCTCATGAATCAGCAGCCTTCTCAGCAGGGAGCTGGGGATTTGCTGGGGGTGGGTGGTGGTGGTGGTGGTGGTCAACTTGCCTCCGGCTTATTCCTTGATGAACCTGACACATCTACAACTATCATCAGAGGAATGGCTTTGCCTGTATCCTGCTGGAGGATGTCTTCCAACTGGGGTGAGTGCTTATCCTGGGCCCCAAATCTGGTCCTCTGGGCTCTAGGGCCCTCCTGGTATTTTACTTCTGTAACCGTACCTGGTACTAAATGATTCCCATCATTTTCTGAGCAGCCCAGAGGCTAGCAGGGTTGGGGAGGAACCCCAGCTTGTCAAGGCTGGGGGCAACAGCTTGCCTGGCCCTCAAACCTCATACTGCCTCCTCCCTATACACCCTCTAGACAATTCATTTTCATCGTCACCTTCACGACCTTCCTCCTGCGCTGTGTGGATTACAACGTCCTCTTTGCCAACCAACCGAACAACCACACTAGATCTGGGCTGCTCCACAGCAAAGTGACCTTGTCTGATGCCATCCTGTCCTCGGCCCAGTGTGTCCAGCAGTGAGTGACCGCTTGGGGAGGCTGGGGTGGGGGCGGGCAGATAGGATGGGGGAGAGGAAAAAAACCCCCAAGATGCCCCTCTCTCTTTGTCCTACAGTTTAAATCGTGGTTTTTGATGAGTGGTTCTCAAACTTTTTCATCCTAGTGAGGTGTTACTTATGAGGGTAATAGCTGGTTATCTGTACCCCGTGCTTGTTGTTGTGGGTGGCCAGTTGACTCGGAGACTATAGGACAGAGCAGAACTGTCACTCAGGCCTTCCCAGGCGGGACTCTTTGGTGGCAGCAAGTTCCAGGGCTTGTTCTCCCCTGGAACCACTCTGGGTCTGAGCTGCTGATCTTTCAGTGGGCAGCCTGGCACTTGCCAGCATGCCGCCACGGTTCCTTCTTGTTACCCTACTGAATGGCTCAACTGAGAACCCTTTTACCATGGAAGACTGCACAAGCACACGCTCCATTATTGGCTGTCCGTGTGCCGATTTCTTGATGGTTATGAAGCTTCTGGAAAATGCCATGGAACGCTCGTGCCAGAATGAACAATGCATAGAACACAGTTGTAGTGTTATTGAGAGAGAGTTTTGACTTTTTAGACCCCGGTGAGGGTCCCAGATGTCCCTGGACCCACCTTTGAGAACCCCTGGTCTAGGGGCAGCCCCTCTCTCCCTTACAGTTCTCCATGACTCTCTAAGCCTGGCCTCCTCTCTATTGGGCTCCCACCTCTCTGCGCCCCTTATCTGTCTAACCCCATACAGGATCCGATCCAGCCCCATGCTGGTCTTCCTATTGACCCTGGCTGCAGGCTTCTGGCTGTTCCAGCTGCTTCGCTCAGTCTGCAACCTTTTCAGCTACTGGGACATCCAGGTGTTTTACAGGGAGGCCCTGCACATTGCCCCGGTGAGCTGGGTGGTCAGAGGCTAGGGGAAGGAGTGGAGGATGTACCGATGGAGGGGCCTATCGGAAAGAGGACAGAAACGACAGAAACGGGTGGGGCTTTATTGACATTTGCCCTGGGCCCAGACTAATGCTAGGAGGTGAGGTACTGTCACTTATCATGCGTGGTTCTGAGTGTATTTAGATGCATCATAGAAGATGATTTATAGTGATACAAACAAAAGGTATGTAATGGAAAGGGGATGGGCTTGATAGGATATGGGGAGAGGGGAGAGCATTCCAAGCCCTGGTGCCGGAAGGTAGGGAAAAGCATCGAGTCTCTGGACAGTGGGGAGGAAACCCATGTCAGGGAGCATTCTTTCTGGAAATACTCCTGACACAGAACATTCCCCCCAGCTCTCTCAGTCTTTCTAATACAGTTCTGACCCAGGGTTCCCTGCCATCCACATGGATGTTCAGTAGCTCCCAGAGACCCCAGAATCAAGTTCAAACCCTGAGTCTGGCATCCAAGGCCTTTTATCATGTGACGCCATCCTCCCCCCCCTCCCAACCTCATCACCATGAGGTTGGCCTCTTCACTGTAACCCTGGTCACGCTTTGCCTTGTCTTTCTTTCCCACCTTGATGACATCCTTCTCTGCTTTGTCTCTCAAGTTCTTTTTTTCATTTTACGGAGTAACTCAAAGGCTGCCTTCTGCAGCAGGCTTTCCTCTGAACCTCCCATACAGTGATTTTGGGTCGAAAGGACAAGAGGTTCTTAGAAGGCCCTCATGAGTCAGGGAGCACCAGTACTGAGGAGAGGTGGGGAAGCGTCATGGGGAGCCCTGTTCCTCTAAGAGGCTGTGACCCTTCTATTTACCTTTCTCCCTTCTTTTCCTTCCTGCCTTGTTCCTTTCAGAGGAAGGGGGGCACACACCGGGATGAACTGGAGAGGTCGACTTGGAGGCACTTGGCTAACCCGGGCTGGGGAAACTGGGTGAAATAGGGCTGATGTGAGGTTGGCAGCCTTCCAAATGTGCTCTAAGAGCAGGAGGCACAGGTTTATCTGGTGATGGATGACGCAGGACAAGAGGCTCGGAAGGAGGACAGGGTTGGGGTCTCAGAGTTGGCCCAAGGCAACACGTGGGTAGGATTCTGAACAGAAGCTGGCAGATCATGAGAAACAGAGAGGCGATGCCCCTAGTCTGCTCGCCATTCTCTGCCTTCTGTGGGTTGACTGACGGCTCGAACACTGGAGTTGAGAAATCAGGCCACACACCTGGGGGGTTCACTGGAGAGGTGTCACTGGGAAGCACGTGACTGACGGACTGTGCTTGGCAGGAAGTCAGAGCACATGACTAATGGACATGAATGACAGCAAGTAGGAGGCACAGAGCAATCCAGAAGAGGAAGTAGTTAGCAGACTGGGTCAACAGGCAAGAAAGGTTACAGGTTTCACACCTAGCTTCCTCACTCTGGAAGGTGGGAGTTGGTGGTGGGGGGCATAAGGAGTATACTTTGGGTCCTACTGAGTCTGTGGCATTTTTTAGTGGCCCTTTTGGGCGTGTTGGCACCAATGGGGAGAGTGCTGAGGGCCGCTGGCGCCCCTCATTCCCCCCTTTCATAGGAGGAACTCAGTTCCCTGCCCTGGGCAGAGGTGCAGTCTCGCCTTCTAGCGCTGCAGGGGAGCGGGGGGCTGTGCGTGCAGCCGCGGCCCCTGACGGAGCTGGACGTCCACCACCGTATCCTGCGCTACATCAACTACCAGGTGGCCCTGGCCAACAAGGGCCTGCTGCCCGTCCGCAGCCCGCTGCCCGGCGGAGGGAGTGTGGCCTTCCTGAGCCGAGGCCTGGCGCTCAACGTCGACCTTCTTCTCTTCCGCGGCCCCTTCTCGCTCTTTCGCGGCGGCTGGGAGCTGCCCGACGCCTACAAGCGCAGCGAGCAGCGGGGCGCCC